AATGCATGATATCTTTGAAGTTCCATAAATCTGTTTGTGATCATTGCCTGTATTTCAAAAATACTTCTTCTGTGCCTGTATTTTTGTTACTCTATGTGGATGACATGCTGATAATTAGTCCTTCTCTGAATGCTATCAAAGATGTGCAAAAATGTCTCTGTGCGAATTTTGCCATGAAAGACCTAGGTGATGCCAAGAGGATCCTAGGCATAAACATTGTTAGGGATAGGAGTAAGCGTACTCTTACTTTGAATCAGATTTCTTACATAGAAAAAGTTTTGAGTAAATTTAATATGTTATCTGCTTCTCCTGTTAATGTCCCTATGGCATCTCACTTTGTGTTAAGTAAGGACCAGTCTCCCAAGACTGCTCCTGAAATTGAGAAAATGAAATCTGTGCCTTATTCCAGCGCAATAGGGTCGGTGATGTATCTTATGGTTAGCACTAGACCTGATATTGCATATGCGGTTAGTTGCTTGAGTAGATATATGTCCAACCCTGGTTTGCCCCATTGGAATGCTCTTAAGTGGTTGCTTAGATATCTGATTTCTACTGTGAAGCATGGATTAATTTTCTCTAAGTGTGCTAGTGGTATTGAATTGATTGGTTATGTTGATTCTAACTATGCAAATGATAGAGATAACAGGAAGTCGACCACTTCTTATGTTTTTACTTTGTGTGGCTCTTGCATTAGTTGGAAGTCTCAACTACAGCCTATTGTGGCCCTTCCTACCACTGAGTCCGAGTATGTTGCAGCCACAGAAGCGTTTAAGGAAGCCATCTGGCTCAAACGCCTTGTCTCCGAAATTGGGTTTCTCAAAAAGGGAGTTACCATTTTCTCGGATAGCCAATCGGCTATCCAACTTTGCAAAAATCCTGTATTTCATGATAGAACTAAGCATATTGATGTTAGGTTCCATTTCATACGTGATATTGTTGATGCAGGTGGAGTCAAGCTGTGCAAGATCCCGTCCGAGTTTAACCCCGCGGATATGGGTACCAAGTGTCTTTCTGCTGAGAAGCACTTGTCCTGTAAACGCGTGTTAAACTTTGATTGTGGATAACTGTGGGTTGCCTAATAAAGTGTTTGCCCGTTGTGTCTGTTGATATTCCGGGTGACCCGGCGATGATGAGTCTTGTCACAACCTTGTATTGTTACTCTACACCACCTAGGACCAATAAGGTGGAGAATGTTGGAGGTATTGGTCCTACCAAGGCCTCCCTTCCACTTTATTAGCTGAGGCTTGCACCCTATTAATTTACTCCCTCTTTGATACCTTTTACCTGGTATATTATCTGATCAATTATATACCTGTTTGACTTATCTGGTATGCCCCATTGCTTGCTGTCCGCTGCACTCCCATTTGTCTTGGCTTATACCCGTGAGTTCCATTATTCACACCCGTGAGTGTACTATTGCTTTACCCGTGACTTCTCAATAGGCTGGTTGCCTATTATAAGTCAACACTCTTTCCTCCTTTGTGAATTAAGCCTGCGAGAATAGCCCTTCCAGAGAGCAGTGTCTTCCTTCTTCCTCTTTGTGAGTTCCTTTGTGGTTAGAAGAAGAGAGTTGAGAGATAGGTGTGCTATAGCCTCCTCCTAGTGTGGTGTGTGAGAGTATGTGTAGAAAGACCTGAGCCGGAGACGGAATCCGATCCTTACACAAATCATTGTATCATAAATCTCATCTTTCACAAAGATAATATTTTGCAAAGATAAGAAAATAACTTGGAATAGTAGGTCATTAACCGACCAGGGACCAATGAATGAAGATGAGGTGCAAAAGTTGGATTATTCATGAATAATCAAAAGGTGGGATTATTGAAAGAAGACAGTTGAAAGGTTGGATTATTAGTTTCCATTTTCCCTATTTAGTTTTAGTTTGTGTCTGAGCATCAAAATTCTTGTGAGAAGAAAGTCAGATTTCACACAATAATGTAATCCGTGAGAAACCAAATTGTTGGGCTATACTTTTTATAATGTTATAATGGAATGAGAAAATCTTTTATGTTGAAGATCGCATCATATCGTATTAATTGTGACTAGGTATGGATCCGGTCCCGGACGGGTTCTGGCTAATTTTTTATATTAAAACAAATAAAAAACTATACATATTAAAAATGAAATGTAAGTTTATTCGGAACATTACATTGGCTTGTACAATTATAAAAACTACATAATAAAAAAGATTACATAAATCTTAATGATAAAAAAACTACTCAAATGAAGTGTACCTAACAACATAAATCTCAATGATAAAAAAGCTACTCAAATAAGTAATTGTTAAAAAAATATTCAAATAACTTACATAAATCTTCTAGTCTTCAAAACTAATTTCTTGATCGATTGTCGTTCCCTTCATGAAGTGGCAGGTCGGTGCTATATTTAGTTCTTGAGTTCGCCGATGGGTCTTCAACCAATCGTGGAAACCCACGGGCATATCAAAAGATTGTGCGCTCAATCTCGTTCTATAACCAGTCAGGATGCTGCCTGGTTCAATTAACTCTTATTCCACGGTAACTATTTAAACCGACATGGATAGGATTTGTTTCGCAATTGTTGATAAAATCGAAAACATTGCTTCTTTGTCTTTCCGCCATTTGAGATTCTCAAACTCTCCCCCTTCTTCATACTCACACAGAAACGTTAAATACAAAAAAGCTTGTTAATCCGGCTTCTTGAAACGCTATGAGTAGATTTAATTTTTTCGAAAGATTATATATTTTTTATTTTCAAAAGACCCTTTCCGTTATATGAGGAAGCAAGTTGTTTCGGGGGGGGGGGGGGGGGGGGGGGGGTAGCATATTGTGCATGAAACTTATTAAATAAACTATGAAGTATATTACTAACCTCATTGAATTGCGCTTGAACATCAATAGGGTTGTTCTCGTACATAGCCCTGTCACCATAGAAACAATTATAATACTCCGCAGTACCTTAAAAATGTTTGATAATAGCAAGTTTGAAACGGGGATCAAGAATGAAAGCAATAACATATATAGACGGAATGTAGGTATGATATTTTTTTAAAAAAAATCTTTCATGAAATCTAACAAATAATGAACATATCTGATCTTTTGAAATTCTTTGAAAGCACTGGCGAAATTAAAAACTTCTATAAAAACATTTTACCAGTAGGTTGATAAACATGAGAAAAAGATTGAGTAGCATTTTGAAAATAAACTAATGCATTGCAACTTTTTCTCATAGTGGTTTGTGCCAATAATACTTAATCACGAAGTGGACTCTATTACATGAGGAATGTATCATTCATTCATCCATTACTCTAAGAAGTAAAATTGCAGAAAAATAATCAAAGAATAAGTTTAAACTAAAAGTGATAGAAATAAATAATAAATATGCAAAATGTAATTTAAGAAAAAAGAGTGGTAGTGTGGTACAATTGAAAAGGAAATGATGTAAAAAATTGAAGCATTTAAATGAAGTGAAGAATTTCGATCACGGTATTATGTATTTTGAAATATCTGATGCAAAGACATACATTTTTCTGACATATGGGAGATGGGAGAGGATGAAATAAAACTACGTAGAATAAAGTTATAATTTACGCTTTTAAATAGTGACGAAGCCAGAAAAACGTCTCAGGTGGTCAAAATTTAATTAAATACAGAATAAAAGGTGAATTGTTTTTAAATAGAGTTTAATGTCTCATATATGTCTTAGATAAATTGATAAATTGATGATTTAAACGAGACTAATAGAGTTATAGATTTGATATATATGTTATACACATTATAAACTTAACTAAGTAATGAATGAATTAGATTTTTTTTTAAATAGACTATTTTTAAAATGAAAATATACTAGTAATAAATATCACATACTACGTATCAAATTTTACTTATTTCAAGTTTATATAATTCTGATTTTTTAGAAGTCGCAATTTTTTACTCCTAATAAGTTACGACTTACGAGTCATAATATATCAAATCGAATATATTCGAGTGCTCTATATTTTCAAACTTTTAGGGCACTGGGCTAACCACCCTCAGGGCCGAACCTTTACTAGAGGCAAAGAGGCAACCGCCTCAGGCCCATAATTTTGGGGAAAAAATAGGGCCCAGAAATTTATTAACTCCCTTTATATATACTACGTATACCCATAGCATAATAGGCCCAATTTGAATTTCCTTTGATTAGAAGCTCTCGACCGATCACCGACCCTTGCATCTGCGGCTATGCTCTCTCGTTTGCAACTTCCGAGTTCCCAGGTTTGAAATCCAAGCTTCCAACATCAATCTTTGAAGGCTAGAAGCATAGAAGTTAAGCCCAGAACTCCATAACATCCCAGGTATGTATAATTGTTATTTAATGTAATTGTTGTGTTTTTAAATGTCAATTTCGTGTTCTAAATTCTGAAATCGTCGTTGCTAATTGAAGACCAGAGTTTAGGGAAAGTGCTATTTATTTGTTTTGAGACCATACGATTCAACATTCATCATCATCCAAACATTTATTTAACTCATACGTTTTTGTTTAATAATAATCAATTAATTTTTGCTTATGATTCTTCTAGTTATATTTATTAATACCCATAATTTTTTTGTTTATTTTTTATGGAGCTTAAGGGCCTTTTATACCGTTCGACTCGGACCAAAAAAATCTTAGGATCGGCCCTGACCACCCTAACCCCACTTTAGCTTTGCCCCTGCTTTCAAACTAATGAGAAAAGTATACTGAATATTGGTTTATAAGCTATAAAGAAAAATTACGAAATATTAGGAGTTCAAATAAAGAGTAGAATCTTAATCAAGATATTATATATTTTGAAATATATTGAAACAACTACTTTGAACAAAATGTTGAAACATTGAAATAGTCCTTTGAACGAAATGATATTATATGTTTTGAATTAACTTATTCACTTAAATTTATACTACGTAATATTTCTGATAGATAAAGGTCAACATGCTAATATAACTAAAAAGCTATTGTACTATGAACTACGTAGTATGATTTATAAGCTATTAAGAAATTAGTTGTGGTTTAGAAGCTATTAAAATTCAATTAAACGGTTGATGCAATTGTCTTGAATATGAACATCCAGCGCCTGTAGACTTCTCACACTAATAAAAGATACAATGTTGAATGAATAAAGTGCAATCAACACATGTATTCACTTTATTCGAATACAACACAGCTTTTAGATGAAAAATATTTCAATTTTTGGGGAGGCACGGGGAAAATGCAATATTTTCTTAATAGCTTTAAGATTAAATTGTTTTCTGATAACTAACTTCTCAAGTGTTGGGAAGCATGCAAGTAACCCCTTGATCCCAGACAGCCAAGTCTCAATCTCGCCTCTGTATGGGACGTCACTCAAAATCATAGTGTGAAGCAAGTTGCGTTTTCTAGCCACACGGTAAAGATACTCTGAAAGTTCTGAGCGTGTCCCTAAGCAATCTCCCAACATTTCAATAATCTGCAGAAAAGCAACAAAAGAAAACTGATGAGAAAAAGTAGAAATTTTATGACTAACTTATCCAGGAAAATAAGATTACCGATACATCCATATGAAGTTCGCACAATTTTGGGCATAACTCCAGCAAATGAATGAATGTAGGAGAAATATCACCCATCACTGTGTAAAACTCATAAATGTCAAACTCTAGTGGGTCATCAAGCAACATCAAATATTCCACATTTAGTAGTTGAGGTGGTTGTAGTGGCAGTCCCCTTCTAGTAAAACGTGCAAAGAATTTCTTGGAAATGAAAGACAAATGTAAGATCAGTTACTAGAACCATTTTAAATATATAATGTCAACAAAAGGGGTATGGGTAACATACCATGATCGAGTAACCATCCAGAACTAGAGTATGAACACATTCCCAACTCGAGTAGTTAACTGGAAGATAGCCATTGGTTTGGTGATAGGAACAACCTTCCATGGTTAACTTCCCAAGTTTTGGGGCAGTGATGTTAAAATGGAACATAGTTTCATTGCATGAATAAAATGACAGATCCTCAAGCATGGGAGCATTAATTGCATGACCACTAGGCTCAAAGTCAACGTCTTCAAAACAAAGCGAAGTCAAATTTAGTAAGTTGCGAGGGGCGTCTACTGTGTCATAATACGATCCATGAATACGCAACCTCCTGAGTGTTGGGCAGGAAAAGATGCAGTTAGGCAGCATGAATCCATCTTCTTCATCAATTTTAAGGTGAATTTCTTCAACGCCTTTTTGTGTGACAAACATGAGCCATTGATAAATGTCAAACATCCGTGAATTAAGTGATCCAAAATCACAACAACCAAATAAAAAGCGAAATTTACGAACAGGTCCACTATGATGCATGATAATTTTGTTGATTATGTATAAACTCTCAGAGACCAATGTATCAATGCTATGATTGTCATACATTAGTTTCCTGGTTCTTCTATCATTATTGCAATAGTAACGACTATACTTGTCTCTAATGTGATTAAAGAAGTCCATGTCAAAGTCGAGTGTTGTAATACTGAACCACGTATCTCTCCACAGAGTAGACAAAACGGCCAATCTAGCAGCATCTAAAGTGGGCATGCATCCCAAAATCTTGTCAAGTAAACCATCTGGAAGTTCACTGAATCTGTCTCTCCTTCTCCTCACCCTGCAGCACTGATAGATGCAAATTATAGGAAAAAAGTAAGTTAGGGATAACCTCAAAATGAGATGAGTATGGGATACTGATAAGAATGAAGTTTGAATCTGAAACAGATGGTGAATATTGGTATCAGGAAGAGATAAGAACAGATCACGAATCCTACAGTTTAAATATCCAAACTTGTACTGTTGTACATATTAGGATAAACGACTTTTAGCATGCAAAATTTGCAAGCCTTAGCTTTCAATTCAAACATTTAAATGAATAAAGATAGCTACTTTAGAAGATTACTGAAACTCAGTGATTCTACTCAACTGAAGTACTGAACTTATGCCTTCCATGCTGGAGTTGGAGATAACCACAACCGCAGTAACAAAAAAGACTACAGTTTAATTCAGGAAAAGTGAAGATGTAGAATGCTTACTAAAGACTCATAAGATTTCAGTAGATTGCAAGGTTATCTTAACCAGACCAGCCACCAAACGGGTCAAAGGACTGGGTATTGGCTAGGGGTTCTCAAGTTTCATTGGGGTTGGAGTGTTGGACCAATTGTAACGAAATTGTTTCTAAAAAATAACTTATATCAAGTGTTTGAATGTAGAAAAAAATCATTTGTAAGTTGAAATAACTTTAGAGAAATTAACACAATTCTGCACCTAAACAAGGATATATTACAGGCTTATAGTCCAAATTCATACAATAGGCAAATCGGGTGAAGTGTCAAGAGATTACTTACAGCTTTTATTTCTCGTACAATTGGGAGGGAGAAAATAAAACCATAGTAACGCAGCAATATCCATATGCTTTTCCGTGAAAAATAAGACAAAAATTAGACTAAAGTGCTCAACGATATAACAGTACCTTGTACATTTGCTTTTTGTTTGGATTGACAGTTCGCATCCCGAAGATGGGAAAACAAATATGAACCTTTCTTCGAAGAAGTTTTGACTGGGCTTAGGGTTAGGTTAGCAAGATTTTTTAAGCAGATGTTCGAAGAGAAACACGAAACAATGAAGCAAAAAAGAGAGAAGCGGTGAAAATGAATTCCAGAATCCAGACCAGAAGGAGAAGATGAAGTAGAGCCTAACGATTAGCCACCTGTTGGGCCGAGAATTTGTACCAGGCCGGCCCATATTCCACATGTGTCTTAGGATGTTTTTACTTGGACGGTAATTTGCTGGTCTGGTCTGGTCTGGTCTGGTCTGAACTGGTCTGGTCTGGTCTAGTAAGGTCTGGTTTCTTTGTATTTTTATAACTATCCAAGTCTGGTCTGGTCTGGTCTGAACTGGTCTGGTCTGGGATAAAAACATCCTTACCCTTGTCATTGTTCACCAAATAGAAGAGTCAAAGCCCAATAAAGCCAAAAGCAAGGAGAGAGGGATAAAGACGGACTAAAAAAAAAAGAAAAGGGTAACGTTCTGTAAAGACATCTGCTACCGTTCTCCATTTCTATCTGCTACCGTTCCCCATCTCTTAAGGAGTGTTTGGGTTTGCTTAAAAAAAGCGCTTTTCAGCTTTTCACTTAAAAAAGTTGAAAAGAGTGTTTTCAAATGACAGTTTCTGCTTAAATTAATCACTTAAAAGCTAAAAGCTGGAAGCAGGTAGAAGGGTGCTTTAAACTGCTTCTCACTTTTTCTATTACACAAAAAGTACTTATTTTACCAAATACTACCAACTTTTACTTTTCCAGAATCACTTTTTTCTCAAACACTACCAACTTTTACTATTAATCACTTTTCGCAAAATCACTTTAAAAAATCACTTTTTAATAGTTGAAGCAATTGCAAACACGTCGACTGAACTTTCCAAAAGCAGGAGCGAAGAAGCCAGATCGTCCCCATCCATGCCCTGTCGTTTCCCATTTCTCCGGCAAGCTAGCATGTAAAGGGCGCACGAGACGAGACGGTGGTGAGTCCATACACATATCTACGATCAGTAAGTGGCCGGATCTGGAAGTCGAGCTAACAGTCCCGAGCTGCCTCCACGCTACCATTGCGTTGCTGTGGTTCCACGTATATATATTGTTGCTGGTTTAAACAAATATAATCAGCATTAAATTATACCTTTGATAAGTAAAGCAAATGGCTTGTCTTTTATATGGACAGATTCATAATACGAAGTATAATGGAGAGTTAAGATGAAATGATGGCACAAAGTATTATGTTAGTGTTAGTTTGTAATAGGAAAATGTACTTCGTATATGATAACGGGTAGGTCATGAGCCTTCTAAATTCGTTATTTCTTTGTGCAGTAGGCAAGTGTAGTGTGTTGCGATTTGTGAACATTAATCAAGCCAAGTGTAATCTACAAATAGGCTTTCAAAACTGAAGGGAAACATTGTGTAGAAGGTAATTTATTTTAGTTATTATTAAAATTAAGACGTATTTGACAATTGACAAACAACAATCAACTAAGTTAGGCATTTCAACAAATACTTTGTGAATATGATTAATTTTAGCCAATAGAAGTGGAGACTGCTGATGAAAGTGGAAATCGCACGTTGAATCTTAGGAAGAAGCAGATGCGTTTCTAGTAAATCTAAATTAACCGTGCAGATATGTTCAGCAGCAATGGTTTTGTTTCAAGGTTTATTTTGAAATTTGATTAAGTTCTAAGATAATGGAGAATTTGTAATATATATATGAACATATACCTGGTTTGTGAAATGGTACTGTAGGAGATGAAATGAGCATGCATCGCATACTTTGTTCCCATTTCTCCCCATGAAGTGTACGAATTATATCGATCGATCAAATAAAGACGAGTTACCGATTGAATAACTGTTGGAGTGAATGAACCGTCGCCAAGTAACCGATTAACGGATAGTTACCTTGCTAACGGGGTTGGGAGTTAATTGACGGATAAAAGAAGTGTTGGACGGCAAAAGAGCCATGATAACGTCCTATGGCTCTTATTACTCCCTCACTACCTGAAAATACTTCCCACTTTCCTTTTTGGGCCGTTCTCAAAAATACTTCCCGCTTTCCCTTTTTGGACAATTTGTGTGGTTCACATTCATTTTACCTTTTTCTTACACAACTACAACCATACATTTCCACTTTATTCCACTTTCTTAATAAGCGTGTCAAGTCAAACCGGGAAGTATTTTTAGGAACGGGGGTAGTATATAACTAGCATTGGCCCGTGCGTTGCGCGGCGGTCCGTTCCCCATGATGATTAAATGAGAAAATTGTATTTCATAAATAAAAAAATGTGTGAATACATCACAAAGTTAAGCAGCCAAAAAAATGAAAATCAAAACAGAAAAGAGTATTGTAGTTACATCATTGTACTTGTTTAGCATCATTCAACATCCGAAACATAAGCAAAAGCATGAAAATAGTTCGGGTATCAAGAAAGTTTGCCCCGGAGAGGTGAGGCGTAAGCCTCAAAATATACCAACAAATAAAACTTTAAATAACTAAAAATCAACTATTGATATGCACAATCAGAAGCTCAAAAAGTCCAAAATGAGTGCATCGACAATTAAAGGAGACTTTTCAAAGACATAGTTGAGAATTAAAATGGAGATCAGTTCATTATTGAATAGATGTAACTAACATGTTCTCATTTAAAGAAAGAACTCTCAAAGACTTCAAAGACTGCATCCATTCCCAGCTTATATATTGGTCCTCAGTGACATTGGTCCTCAACGTATCAAATGCAATACATAGAGAGAGCAATTCTGAAATTCAAAACCACGATGCAGAAAAGAAGCTCAACGTAGCAGGGCAATGCAAAATCTTGCCTAACTGTCAACAAGCTAAGCTCACTGTAATTTCCTTTGTCAAAAAAATTCATTAATAGTTAAACCGAATCGATTTTTCTTTTAATTTTTGATATCTACTTACCCTTCTTCTTATGGTTCTGTCTTCTTCCTCTCTTCCTTCTTCAACCCCTCTGCTCCCATTTTCTACTTATACGGGTTTTGGCATCTAGTCCATCTATAAGGCGGTGACTATGGTATATAAGTTTTTGCTACCTGTCTTACCTTCAACTGTCTCAGCAATCAAAGCACGTCAAAATCCTTCAGCAACCACCTTTTTTAAATTTATCTGCCAGTAATAGTAAAACGCGCTCAAACTTCCACACATGGACACAAAATCAGAATGAAATTATTTCTGAGCTAACAACTGTCACATATCCCTAAGAAGAAACACAGAGAACAAATAAAATTGACAATAAGCAAAAAGAAAAAAGAGCTAGAAGTTCAGGCATTGCTTAAGATGATTTCAAAAATCACTTTTCAAATTATTTCTTCAAAAACGTTAAACATAAGGTTTTCAAACAAGTGACTGTGTTTAACTTTTTTTACAAATGCTTTTCGGTTTTTCTGTAACCAACTCAATCTTTTAGCCCTAAACATATATGCACAATCACCTTACATGACAAGACAAAACAGACTATGCGGGAAAATTGAACATTTTGGTGCTTCCATTCAATATTACATTACAAATCACTTTTTTACCGAACTTTTACTTTTAAAATAAAACCACTACCAATTTAAAACACCACCTGCTTTTCTCAGGCAGTAGACCCTGGAGTGACTTCAGAACATGCAGGACTCTGACAAGCAATTAAAGCACACCAAGCACTATGCCTCTAAAACATACACATTTCAGTTGCATTGCACACTGCGGACAACACATGAATATGCCCCTAAAACATAGATACGTCATTTGCAAAAGAAGAATTTTAAAAAGAAAGAAAAAAGAACATGGGAAGATGATGATGAAGAAGAAGAAGAAAAAGAAGAAGAAGAAGAAACCTTAAGAGTTGCTAGTTTCTGTGGATTGATCGTTGATCAAACATACACTAACATATATGATTTATAAGCACATGAAAGTATGAATCTCGGTGTTGGTAGACTTGCTGTCAAGCAACAGCCTATAATGGTGTTTGGAACTCCACTCGATCTCCAGCAGCCTGACAACCCCATTTTGAAGACCATATAAGATAGTTAAATATTACTTAAGGAAATACTCTTCAAGCAATGTGCCACTGTCCGCTATTTAGAAAATATGGCTATCGTTGGATAAAGAAAAATACCATATGCGGGTGTTTTATAACTGAAATGGTGCTAATGTTTCTCGTAGAGTCGCGAGAAAGCCGCAGTCTGATATGTGGAATACCCTTCCAACTCTCACCAAGTGCAGGTTTCAGATTGCTTCCTTCTCCAGCTACCATATGATTGGTTATCTATCTAACCATGATTAATTAAATCTTAAGGATGGCAAATTTTGAAAACTATCTTATTGTACTTGTATATAGTAATTTAATGCCATATAATGCAGAAAGGGGAGGCAGAGGTTTCTTCTTACTAACCAAAACAGGAAGGTCATGCTCATCTGCTAGTTGTTTTAGCATAAATCCTACTGAAACCATCAAAGCATGTTCTGTTTTTACATCAAAGCGGACATTTATTTCTGTTTAGTTCACAGCCAGGGAGGGCACAAAATGTAGGATAAGGGAGCAAAGGTGGGAAAAAATTGCACCCTCCCATTACTAATATTTGAACCAAATAAGGCGAGGGAAATCCTTTTTTCTCCTCAAACCAAACACACCCTTTGTGAATAAGTGAATAGTTTCTGTCTCCATAAATACTTGAGTTGTTCGTTCTTTGGAAAGCATACCATATTCTTGAAAAACATAGGTGAGAATGAAGATGAATGGAAGAAACTCCGTGAACAGGCAAAAATAATAATATACCCTTCTTAAATATCAAACTAATTCCCAAAAATGACCAAATAGAATATTGTAAAACAATAACAAAACAGAATATATACACACACACACACACACACACACACACACATATATATATATATATATTGAACATTCAATCATAAGTATAAGAGAGCTATACATACATACCATGTGCACCACACCCTCCAAGAACTGGAGCGATAAGTGATGAAATTGAATCAATAATAAGTAACTTCACCCTGCAACCTGACCGCATATCAAATTCAGCCGATAGTACATAAAACAAAAAATAAATAGGCAAAGAATAGTAAAAGAGAAGGAAAATAAACCCGAGAGATCTCAAGGTACTCC